ACTAAGCCGATTGCAGCGGTCTAATGCCATTAATAATACTTCTATTTCTCTTACTGAGAGAAACTTTGTCTATAGCGGCGCACATCAATTTGTACAGAAGAATCCATGCTGTTGCTTGGGTGACATGCTTAGGTGGAGTTTCGGGATATGCGTTTCATGTATTAACGTTCTGGCGGATGGTTGAGGCCAAAGCCTACTTATGAATACATTGATGTTTTATGTTTTGGGCCCCTCTTGTAATAGCTCATCGAGGGATTATTCCCATGTGAATATAAAGCTTATGGTAGTTAGAGCAAGGTATCTGGGGAGTCTGCTACTAACCGTTGCCACATTGTCACATGAGCTGAGTGTTATTGGTAGTTTATTCCACAGATAGCTGGATCTGACCAGGAAGAAATTAGAGCGGACATTCGTTCTAGCCTTCTGTATATTCAGTGTAAAGTCTTTGTTGCGAAGAGCTCAATTTGAGCAATATTGTAAATTGCGTGTAGGCAGGTTGGAATAGGTCTTTTTGCGTAACATGTTGAAAAGCAGCAACAAGTTGTGCTTCAGTCGTCGAATGCAAAGTGGTTCGAGATGAAATTCATTGCAGTACATATTAGATCGCGATAAACTCACCTTTATTATACCCTGGTAACTTAGCGACTGTTCGCCCACGTTCCCATTCCCTGTTCCAAGATGCCCATGTGGCAAATCTGTTGACCCACTAGTGGATCGCATACAGCGGACATTCCCGAGGCAGCTCAAGTATCGCAGTAACTACATACAATTCATCCCACACATGCCGCTCCGGCGAAGCCCCTCCGTGCCAGAAACTCTGTCACACTAACAGATGTGCGAAATCCTATGTAGGCACTGTTGCTGGAAGCACTTGAAATATTTCTTATCTTTTTTGCGTAGCGTCCATCGTTTACTGTCGTAAAAAGGAACTGACAATACCATCGACTTGTACACCGTCGGCTTGATTCTATTGCTTCTTTCATGCTGAAACTGCACATACCCGGGTACCTAAAGCCTATTTTCACTCGACTTGACTTGACTTCGAACCTAACGTTACATCTTGCCGAAAGTTTCACATGTCTGCAAAAAGCGGGTGCGCAGCTCACTGGTCATCTGCAGTTCGGCGGAAAAGACACCGCCCAGTAGGAAAATCTCGATGAGTTCTCTATAACCTTCTCGGCAATCTGGATTTGTGGCAGTCCCATGTACTCTATTTTTGCTGTAGGCGGAAAAAGACAAGCAGTCTTGGTTGTGTTGATGGTGAGTCTGAAGTTGGCTACTGTCAAAAGGACAGTCGTCGCCATACGTTGCAGCTCATCCACGCTACGTGAAAACAACGCGCAGTCGCTGATAAAAACTGTACATGGAAGGTTGTTTCCCGCACTTCCGTTATCGGCCGGAATTAATGGCCACTCAGCAATCAACCATCAATGTAGTGCATTGTGTTCACAGACTTTGAAAGCGGTTGACGTCACAGCAGTTACATGGATTTTGAACACGCTAGGTGTTAAGTCTCGAAATTGCTTCGCGTGAGGTACAAAATCAAGGTCTTCTGAGGTTTGTCCCAATAGCTCCCCTCTCGCTTACATACCACTGTGAAAGCATTCGGTTTGACTTACGCCTGCAACCAAACTAACCCAATACCAGTCGCCGTCCTTCGCGGTTAACCGTGTCAAACCTCTCAGTAAAATCTATATACAGTGAATAGAATGGCTGGTTACACTCACAGCATATTTTGCAATTTACAAACCTAGAACCGCATAACTAGGCTACTGCGGCACGAACGGAATCCGCATTGCTCTTCCGCCACATTCGGTTCAACGGCCTGAGTGATGAAGCGGGTGAGCAAGATTAGGGCGATAACCTTCCCAAGACTACTTAGCAATTTGATGCCATTAACATTTATTTTTGACATTTGCATGCATGGCTCAAGGGATGAGCTGTACAGCAATATGCCAAGAGAGGACGAATGTCCCGGCGGAATAGGAAACACTGATTGAAATAAAAAAAATTCAAACAGTGGTCGGAACCGCGTCAATTGTCACCGCGTGGGATTGGGTGCATGTTATGTAAGGCGTGATGATGCACCACGCATGTAGGTGTCGTAGACCTTCAGAGTCAGACGAAGAGTAGAAACACAGAGGTCAGAAATATCAAGTGATGTCATCCCGAGTGTGGTAAGATGTTTAGCTGAGGTGGAATATATCATCCCTCGATTATTGATAACAACGGGGTGGTGAACAATATTTGTCGTCTCAGGAAACTGTTCACGTATGTATCGCGATATGGCTGCGGCATTCTCACCTGATCCGTATTTATCCACTTTCAATTTATAAGTACAATCCATTCGGTACGCGTCACATATGGCCACGTCCACAATGTGAACCGTAGAATTTCTAACCGCAAGCAGGTCTGGCTTGATGAAGGAGGTGGCTGTCGGAATCCTCGGCTCCATAACAATGTTAATGCTTCGGCGCCGCAATTGCCTGGCAATCTGTTGGGCGATTTCATTATGACGTTTACAGCGGACATCATGCGTGATGCAGCACGCCTGAAGAACGTGTGACAGAGTCTCTTTTTGTCCGCAGCTCCCGCGGCAGTTGAGAGAAGCCGGGTCATTTGTAGATCTGCCTCTGCTCCGTCGCGTTTTGGTAGAAAGAACACCCCCCCGTAGTTGGACACCCCGTATGAAAAGACGTGGAAAAATCCTGTTGGGGTCCCTCAGCCAGTGGTGAGCGGAAGGTGACGTGACCACATTTCGCAAGGGAGAGCCATCCACTGAAGCAAAAAAAGCATCTCTCCAGGCATCCGTAGCTGAGCTTTTATCCATGACGACGCGATTACCGATGGTAACAGTGGAGCGCGCTAGACGATGGATGGCAGCGGCTGCAGGGTCCCGGATCGCCCAACTGGTCACTGGATGGCAGTTGGATAGGTGTCGTTCCAGCCTCTCCTTCCGTAGCAGGGGAATACTCGTTGATAGACACGGAATACCCAAACCAAAGCACGCAATGGGAGCGTGAAGATATGCAATGGAGGTGTCTGACGGCAAGCGCAGCCATTTTCTGACGTGTGATCTGACAATGCGATCCAACCGCTTCAACGTATTCCGGTGAACCACTGCCAGAGCTAACTGATGAACATGCTTGGGGAGCAGATAGGTCCTCAGAATCTCAAGTCGTTGTTGTGTTTTAAGCGGTGCCTTGGTAACTTCGTTAAGTTGCACAGTAACATCGTCGATTACTGTTGGAGGGAGCTTACCCTTCCAGTTAAAAGGCAGGCCCAACATCTTGAACTTTTCATTGGGCTGAATGGAGGGAATAAAAATGGGACCACAATCCAAAGCATTCGGATCCAGTATGGTTCGTTTGCGAGCGCCATCAACAAGTATATTTACCGAGAAAGATTTTAGATGGTTGATGTTGAGGCCGACGCACTGCAGTCGTTGATGGAATCGCTGAAGGTGATCTCCCAGTGAAATGCGGTCTTGAGCAAAGATGATCACGTCGTCCGCGTAAGCGAGGTACTCAATCGGGCCAGCCGGTGATATCCAAGGCGAAGTGGCGACTCCGTGCAAAACTTCATCTAGGGACATTATGAAGAGCAAAGGCGAAAGCGGATCTCCTTGCCGGACTCCTCTATCAGGATGAAGCTTGACATCATTAAAAATTGAAGACGCGGAGCTGTAATACGATGCCAAGTAATCTAATAATAGCGGGGGGGCTCCGAAAGCAGCTGCTGCTCGAAGTAAGGAGTGATGAGAAATGGAATCGAACGCCTTCGAGATATCCACTGCCGCAAATGAAAGGGGGGTACGAGAAGAATGAGAATGGCGAAGAGCAGCATGGAGTATGGACGGGGCTTCGAAAGCACCATCTTTACGAAGAAAACCAAATTGAAGGCGATCGGTAGGTAAAGTCGGAACCCAACGATCAAAGAGGATACGATGAAGAAGGCGTGGGAAGACAGATGAAACTGCGATTGGACGGAATTGGTCAGGTGATATGGGGTGGGAAACTTTTGGTACGAAGGTGATCCGAGCAGTGTTCATGTGGATGGGAAATGGGTGGGAAGCAAGAAGACAGTTGAGAAAAGAAGTTACAAAGTAGGGATCCATCTTTGATATATCGGCTGGCTTGATGCGGTCTACACCGGGAGCCGAACCCCGGCACCTTGCTTCCTCCCTTTTCCCTTGTATAGTGGGAACACAAGGGCACCTTGCAAAGAAACTGGCGCCTCTTCAAACCACGCTCGTTGCACGAAGTGCTGTAGCCTATATAGAATTACCGGCCCGCAGTTTTCAGCCGCGCTGGCGGTATCCTGTCGGCTCCGACGCACTTGTCTTTTCTCAGCTGTGGCATTGCTTTCTGCATCTCACGCAGTGCCGGCATGTCATCGTGACCGCCCTACACAGCATGTTTTGCAGCTGACGTAGCTTATCCCAGTCAGTTTCTGAACGGCTGTTCAAGACAGTCGAAGTCTGTGCATCACATCTGCATGATAGGTGTAGCCTGCGTACAGACAGCAACCGAAATAGTATCCACCAGCATCCTCATTGGCTACAAGTTTGGTTCATATGCTACCTTCAATCGCCAACTGTCTGCGCACCATTTATCAACTTTGTGGCATACCTGATCCAGTGGAGTGAAGAAAACATAAGTCAAGCAGCTCAGTCCGTTGTGTTCAGCCACTGACACTAACGCTTACTATGGCGTTAGGTAGAGTCTAGCAAGTTTTGAAATTTTGTTTGAAACGCGAAACACGAATGACCATTGGAACTGAATATCGCTTCAGGATTAACTGTTCAAATCACCTCTAAACATTCCTCATCGAATAGTGAGATTACAACGTTGGGTACATTGCACAATGTACGGTTAAACAGCGCAGTTAGCGCGGTTGTGATATGATACAAATGTTTAGGGAACAGCAATTTGAAAAGATTCTTCACGGCGTGAAAAAGTGAAATTTAAAGATAGCACTTCACCCTTTCTGTCATCCAGGTTGATACAAAGTTCGAAATCATTCCATGCAACAACGCTAAACATGGGGAATTTCGAAGTGATCGGACCTCGGTCTTGGTGCGATCAAACTCAAAAATGGAAATACCGGTAAGTCAAGTGTGATATCAATAATATTTCGGTTGCATCAGTATGCGTTATTAATCTGAAACGATATACTGTGGATTTCGTATGGGCAAAATGCAATCAAGCGTTTTAGGTTAAAAGAATAAAAGTAAAAAGCAAATGCGTCGGAAATAGTGGCATATATCGGTGGATACACCTACTCGGAGTTACTGGTGCCCACAGTTTATCTTGGTTTTGTTATGTACAGGTACCCTAGGTTAAATCGTATAAGAAAGATGAGCAACGTACCAACAAGTTACCACTAATATCCTATTGCATTTATGTACCCGAGTGTTGCTATACTTATGGCTGCAGAAGCTATTAACCACTGCATTTTTATCTGTCGGTGGGCTAGGGATAGTGTCCTGCTCTTTACTCCACATAACTCGCGGTCTCCTTACTTTTATAACTGGTAGATCGATTAACCGCCTCAATGGAACATTCTAATAATCTGGCATTCTAATTCACCAATCATGCGATAATCAGGGCTGATGCAATATGTGATCTACTCCGGCGCAACCACTGTACCATTTTGTGGTCCATAATTGCTCAATCCAACATTGAAAATTGTGCTTAGCCGGATAACCGACCAACAGTTTCTTGCATATAGAGCACACTGTTATTTTGTGCATCTCAGTTGTCCCTCAAGTAAACCACGCCATTGGTAGAGCCATGCGGAGGACAGTTTTAGTCAAAATTGAAACGGTGAGGTCCTTTATATCTGCCCACACTATAGGCTAAACTTTAGACCATAATATAGCCTTAACAGCTAAAAGCGCTGAAGACACGAACAAAATCACGGCGGAGGACTGTACCCAACCACTTTCATTAATTGATTAAATCGAAAGATACTCCTAAACCGAATGTTAAATGGTTGGTTTAAGCCCATTTGTACTGATTTATGAAACAAAAGTCCAGATGATCAACCCGATTTCTGATGGACTTTATTTACTTGTGTGTATAGTCCAGTTAACATAAACTAATGAGCTCGTTGTGAAACAAAGTGCAAAAACCTTGAATGTAACTTTTAAAAACTTTAGAACACACATCAGCACATACTACATCATTGATACAACCATTTAAGACTTCAATGAAAAAGCTGTGTGTGATAGATAAGTATGCATAGGGCTTTTTTAATCTAACTCTAGTCAATGTACGAAAGACAAAGCTGCTCATCTTAACAGTGATGTTTGTCAAAGTGACAAGAGTGCTCAACTCCTTCACACGATACCCTGAGTTCCGTTATTTCAGATATTCTTATCGGCTGCTTACATCTTGTCCGTTGAAATATGATGTTGCGTACAGAGGAAGCAAAGGGAAACACATTCCTTTTTAATGTGAAACAATTATGCAGCTCATTTTGGTAATGCGGAGCCGGTCAGAAACTCCAGCTGCCCGCACAAATTGGGCTCCTGGCACCGAGTCAATGAAGCTTCGCTAAACTAATGGTTCCGTTTTTGAACTTTGAACTTTTGAGTACTGGGTATGAAGGACGCAGGCAGACATCGTGCTTTTCAGCTCAAACCACCCAGAAATGTGATCCTATGTTTTTAGCAGATGGGTGGTGCAGTTCGAACCGGTGAACGATCGTGAAACGATGAGTGCAGTCTGCTGGTGACACCCAACGATACTTTCCTTGTGGCAGTTTTTGTCATCCGTCAATGTCCACCACAGAGATGGACTCCCGCCTAACCTTAGCCTTTGGAAGAGTCCTACGACGAGGCTACAGTCGTGTTCTCATCGGGAAGTTCCGGCATCCGTAAGCGACCAATTCAAGACCGACTTTTAAGAATATTCTGCGAGCATTCGGCTTTTCACCCATGTCACTTCTCGCACTTGATTCAGAACGGGGAAAAATACCATCTGCGCTTGATCTGGTGCTCACGAACGAGGAGCTTATGATTGAGAAACGAAAGATGGAGAGCCCTATGGGGCGGGGTGACGGCGTAACAAAAGTTTATAACATTGTGTGTTGTGCGGAATATCCACAAGCACATAGTGACTTGTTTCGAACAATCATGCACTGCGATATACTAACAGAACTTCTTGGAGAAACCAACTGGGAGTTTTCATACGACTGCTTCATTGACATTGCTTGGATGGCGTTTGTTGGCAATTTTAACGGTCTGATTAAATCCACATAGGTAAACAAGCCACTTTGTTCTCTAAGAGCACAATCACTCATTCCGAGCAGAACCGAAAAACGCCATGGCCTTAAGACACGCAGCGTGGAATTTGTACAGATCGAGCCCTATCCCTGACAACGGGAGCAACAATGAAATGTATCGTAATTACTGCACCACACGTGTCAGTGAGGATAAAGTAGTACATCAGCAGAGCTTAGTTGAAAAGTTCTGTGCTAACAAAATGCTTTCTACAGACATGTCAAGAGCATCCGGAGGGTGAAGCGTCATGTTCTCCAAATAATATCAGCAGGCGAATGTGCGCAAACTACTCAGGATGCAGCCAACGTTCTAGAGCTACAATATGCTCCGATTTTCTGACGTGCTACCGGCATATGTATCATACCTGTCCCATTCTCCCAGAGGCCAGTTTTTACAAGCATCACGTTTAGTTCAACGACTATTTTGAGGAGGATACTATCTCTGCGCACTCATAGTTCTTTAGCACATGATATTGAGCACATCCTGCCGTGTCTGATAATGGATGTTTACTCTCTTTCTTAATCCTGATTCATGGACCCAGTACCGTGCTTAAGTTAATGTTTCCAATAACGACGGAGCCATATATCATCCGATTTTGTTTAGCGTAGCCGAACCATTTGGCTTCAGCTCATGTCGGCGTTGGAGTAAGTTACACGGCAGATACTGTACTGCTGTACTGGTTTCAACTTAACAGCCGACTGTGCACGGTTCTGCTTTGGGGCTCATGCAGAATCAGTAAACGTCGCAATAATACTCAACTCTTTTAGATCTCTGCATGTACTCCAACTAACCGCAGCTGTGACTCGATCAGTCACAATTTTTATTGTGAACTTTATAAGCTCTTGGACAGAGCTGACAAGCGGGGTATCCCGATTTTGCTAAAGATTCCATCACACGGATCATTCGCATGATGCCCTGGTAACCTCAACTTGGAAATCATCATCCCGTCAATATGTAGTTCACACAAAGTGTCCATGCAATCATCTTTTCCTCAGGACTAGCTTCAAGCGTGCAAATCGACGCTTTGTAAATTGGCGCCCCTCTCCTCTGCGTTCACACATAAATCACAGTGCTATCAACTTCAGCTGACAATGCAGTCAGTGTAAGGGAGTGGCACGTAATTCTGATCCACCTTTCTCGACGTAGATCAAGTGCTGACCTGTGCGCAAATCTACATATGTTTCAGAGGATGCCCGAGAACGAAATACAATAGAACCGATAGCAACGGTCAAAACTTGGGTCAGCTGCGCCATCCGTGTATTAAACTTCGACCTAAGGACAGTGACAAAGCCTGAACTTGTTAGAAGATGTGGCGATGATATCTTTTGAAATGTACCCTTACATCATTATAAGGCCTAAATCTCCACCGGCGTCCTGAATCCATTAGACAGATACAGAAATATTCCAGTTGACTCAGATTAAAATGAACCGCTGCGCTCTGTCGGTCTGTATCTCAAACAAAGCTCACTTACCAGTCGCGAAGATTGATGGTCTCCATGCTCTCCGCAGATGGAGACAGCTGTCCTCTGGTAAAACTTACAAGTACCTCCGATCCGCCGAATCTATCAGAAATATGGTGTCAAAGTGACCACTTGAGAAGTAAATGTGTCCTCAATAGACTGCCTTCCGAGGTGTTTAGGTTATTAGACGGAGTAGTTCTTTTTGCAGTTCAGTTTCCCTGACCGTCGGTTTGCACACCTGTGAAGACTCTCGGTTGTATGAGCGATGATGACCGATGCGGAAGGGCAGAGATGAGACCAAACAGTCGCTGTCGACGCAAACCGACCTCGCTTGCAAAAGCCAGATAGATAAACAAGGGAAGAAATTACTGTTTTGTCAGGAACACCGGCGAGTCAGATTGGTTGGAACAGCAGCCAGCAGACAAAGTGTGCCAATGGGCGATCGTACACCAACGGCGCAGGATGTAATAGCAACCGTTCCACCGAGTAAACTGTGGCGACAGGAAGCTAGTGAAGAAACAGCGATTCGGGTGTCACCAACACCAGTTGACCGCAATGGCTCTGGCAGGACGGACAAAAGGGAACTGACGCGCCCGGGCATGATTCAAATGGGACATGGCAAACAAGGGAGAAATGTCGTGATACTAGCAGAACATCCGAAAATGAGAAGTGACCAACACGAAGCCATCGCAACTAAACGGCTTCCCTGTTTATGTAAAGTACAAGCGACGATTTACTTTACAAAATCAGACTAATTGATGCCAAAATTTCCTTTTGACACTCAGAAGACTACACAGCCCCTATTAGACCCATTTACCTGTAATTGTGCTTCTTACTGGATGTACCCAGCGAAGCAAAATTTTACCGTAAGTTTTGACACGAAGTATTTCGAAGCTGCGACTCCAAGTGATTTCTTCCATGGTGGTACAGTGAAGACCAGCCAGATAAAATTACTACTTCCTAACATCCGACTAGAGAAATCGGTAATTGCCTCGAGGTTTAAAAATCTCTTCGCACCTCAAGCATCATTCAGAGATACGGTACTATTATTTCGGTTACCTCCAAGCTGTTGATGTCCGTTATGCTTTGCAGTCTACCTGGAATTCGGGAATCAAAAACTTCAAAGAACGCATAGTGACATCAGCAGTACGCCGGTACGTCATACAAAGCTTTGCAGTTTAGAGGATGTAGGTTTAATTTGCAATCTCCAGCAATTCGTCGAATACGCTAGTTTTACTAAAGGCCGGTCAGCCTCGACTTTCTTAATATTCAGCTCGGTTTCTAAATCTGTATCATGATGCTTCTAACTGAGAAACGAATTCCCAGAAAAGCATCCCGCGGAACGATGCCCATCCGTTACCGGTAGCCCAGCCAGCTTTCACCAGTTGTTTTTTTCTCTCCTTTTTTCTTTGTATTGCGGCACAGTAGCTGAGGTGTTCCCCACCTCATTCTAACGTGTATGATGATGATGATGATCCCGCTGACCCCTTGCACTATACACCCATGTCTGGATAGCGTGAGTATTTACGGACAGCTTTCTTATTCTTTCGATATCCGCGGCAGTGTATGACAAGGCAAATCTATCACTGTTCCTCTTTAATTTTGCAGTTGGATACGTCCTGTCAAGAGCTCAAGATGGATTTCAAAAGTTTGGCTTAGAGCCCATTCTAATTGGGCCTGCGACCGAATTAGCCTTTGCTGATGGCAATGCTGTGTCTTAGCTCCTACCCTGTTTAATATTTATCTTCATGACCTCATGTCTTGTGTTTTGAATCCGCTTGTGCTTACGGTGTTCGTGTGGAGCACCGTATTGATGGTGGGTTGCTGAGTAGCCGTCGTTTCGGTGCGAGAACCCTAGTCTGTGAGACAACTATCTGTATGTTGCTATTTGTTAACGACTGTGTGTTTTGTATACACAGCGGGGATGAGTTGCAGCACATGACTAGTTCTCTGGCTTCGACGACGGCCAAATTTGGGCTCACCATCAACACAAGCAAAACCGTCTGTCTCTTTCAGCCTTCACAGGAGGTGCTATCTTCAATATTGCCGCGAATCAGATTGGTGATGACGGATTGGAAACCACCTCTCGCTTCTGCTACCTAGGAAGTGCAATGTCGATTGACCAGCAGATACACGTTGAGTTGCGTATTCGCGTGTCGAAGGCAGCAGCGGCATTCGGGAAGCTAGAGTACCGAGTTTGGGACAACCATCAGCTTACCGTTGGTACAAAGCTGGTCGTGTACAAATCCATGGTGTTGTCCATACTTCTATACGGCAGTAAAACGTGGACGATGTACCGGCGGGATGTGCGATATCTCGAGCGGTTCCACCAGCAGTGCGTGTGACGAATTCCGCGCATCAATTGGTGCGACAGAGTTGCAGACACGGAAGTTTTGCGCCGAAGTGGGATGTATGCAGTGGACTGCATACTTTTATTGAGACACCTGAGATGGCTCGGTCATGTGTGGCGTATGGATTCGACTCGGATACCGAAGCAGCTATTATATGATCGACTGAGTTTGAGGCGGCGGGATGTGTGCAGATCGAAGCTTCGTTACCGGGACATGATCAAAGTGAGCCTCTCACGTTCTACGCTTGATTACAGGTCATGGGAAACGAAAGCGGTTGATTGACGTGCCTGGCGCGATCTGATCACAAAGGCAGTTGCCGAGGTGCAAGAGGAATCCCTCGTACATGCAAAGAAGAAGCGGCAATTGCGGAACCGACAGGCGCTGGTGGGTTATTCTCCATCGATATCGAGCGCATAGCGCTGGAGCAGTTGCGCTCGCGAGTGCCGGAGTCAGGTAGGCCTAGTGGGAGATGAGCGGGGGCACACGGGGCCAACACAGAAACGACGACGAGTTTTGCAGAGAGCGTAGGTAGAACAGGTGCAGCGTTTGTAGGTACGCTGTATTCGATTTATTAACCGCGTGCTGGCATGCTGAGTCTCTTTTTGCAGGTGGTGGGTCTGTTATATTGTCTTGATGCTATTTTATATCATATCAATGTCTGCCTGAAGTATCTTCTATAAACTTGCACACGTTCATTAAACTATTTTAGTTAACTTCGATAACATTTTCCCATTTGTGGCATTTGCTTAAACTGTATTTTCTGATGTATTGAACTTATCGCGGATTTGTTCGTAATCAATTTATTTCTTATGATCATTTATTAAAGAGTTATGGCTGTATGCTTCATTCCATTTATTTTATTTGATCTCGGCGTTTCAAGTGTTTGGCTGTTGTTTGATATCCCCGGTGTGGCTGCGCTTGATGTGCATGTTGACAAGGTGCCTACCTGTCTATTACCCACTACCTCGTCCATCCTGGCTCCAGGAGACAGTTGGTCGTTGCTGGAGGGGACCGAATTCACGGTCCTTTTGGCTGTGCTAGACTAGAAGAGTGGTTCCATGCACCCAGTGTGGAGCGGACTAAGGTCCAATCACCGCCTTGTGTGCGCTTGATTTCCCAAATACAGCGTGCTTGTGTTTGCCTGTAAAGGAGTGTGGGCCGGCTCCATTGATGAAACTTGGCTCCAATCTACATGTCTCGTGGTCCTTAAGGTATTATCTGAATATAGGGGGGTGTGGTTGGAACTGCGGGTGGTGCAGCGCAAGCCACTCATGGTCTCTCTGTAGTCGCAGGCGTCCTGTGGCTCGCCACAGTGACAGGGAAATCCGAAACCGGATGCCGCCAAATATATATGCTGAACTCGAGCGCTTCACAACAAAGATTTTACACTGAATATACCGAAGGCTAGAATGAACGTCAGCTCCAAATTCTTGCTTTATTATATAGCTATCTATGGAATGGTTGGCGGCATCCGGTTTCGGATTTGTCTGTCACTGTGGCAAGCCACAGGACGCCTGCGCATACAGAGGGACCATGGATGGCTTGCGCTGCACCACCAACAGCTCCAACCACATACCCCATATCCAGTGTAAACCCGAAGGAATAAGACCGGGAGTCATGCGGATGGGAACCACATTTCATCAACGGAGCCGGCCCACACTCCTTCACAGGCAAACACAAACACGCTGTATTTGGGGAATCAAGCGCACACAAGGCGGTGGCTGGACCGTAGTCCGCTCCACACTGAGTGCATGGAACCGCTCTTTGAGCCTAGCACGGCCACAAGAACCGTGCACCCCGTCCCCTCCAGCAACGACCAACTGTCTCCTGGAGCCAGTATGGACGATGTAGTGGGTAATAGACAGGTAGGCACCTTGTCAACATACACATCAAGCGCAACCATACCAGGGATATCAAACAACAGCCATTCACTTTAAACGACAAGCTGAAATAAAATAAATCCAATAATGCATACAGATACGGTGGCATAACTCTTCGCTAAATTACCATATGAAGTAATTTGGTTAGCAACAAATCCGTGATAAGTAAGAAATGTCCACAAGTTACTTAAAATGCTACAAACGCAACAAAATTACCGAAGATAAGTGCAATTAATGTAAGCAACGTGGCCAGTTAATAGAACATTCTCCAGGGAGGCAGAACAAACCAAATAAAGCGGAATGAAATTTATCCAGCTTAAAAAGACCTAGTTTAAGTGTAAGTTGGTTTAGCCCAACTGCGGTGAAAAAGCATCAAGAATGCAACATCAGCCTCAGCATGGGGCACTGTCTATGGAATAAACTACCAATAACACTCAGGTCACGTGATAATGTAGCAACATTTAGAAGCAGATCCTCCAGTTACCTTGATCTAACCACTATAACCTCCATATTTACATGAAAAACCCCTCGATGGGCTATTCCAAGTGGGGTCCGGAAACGTCTAAACACCAATGTTTTTAAAACTAGGCTTTGGTCTCTACCATTCACCCTATACCCCAATATTCCACCTATGCATATCACTCATTCAAGAGCGTGGATACTTCTGTACAAGCTGATCTGTTCCGCTACAGATACAGCTTTTTGCATCAGGAGAATCATACGTCTGATATATATATATATTTATTTATATATGTATATATATGTATATATATACATAGTGTACAGGATAGCCCAGAAGGTTATGTAACTTCATGCCAATTACAAGGTGTTAGGTGCCTTGGCGTGGACTCTCTGTGTACTCTGAATCTGATCCTACTTGCACATTTCCTATTTGGCTTCGTATTACTATACTCCCAAACAACTCACATTTGATTGCGAAAATTCTTAAGCAATCAACCGAGGGCTTTGTCATGGCGCTTACATAAATTGAGGAGGGACAGTTTAATGTACCATTCTACCCGTGTGGTTATGTCTTATCCAGAATATGAGCACAATATCGCACTCCAACCAGGGGATTAGTATGAAAGCATTTCGGTGACAAAGCAATGGCTCAACAGCAGCAGCGAAAAGTGCCACTCTAAGCTCCATGGAATCAGAGTCTACTGTAATAACTAAGTACCAACTTCAGTTTGTGAACTTTAGCATTGTCTGAATGGCAACCATTTGATGATGCTTCAAATAATCAGAGTTCAGTGATAATCCGAATGAGTCAATTGGTAAAGTGCTTTATACTCTAACATGACGTGTCCGTTCTACCCTGCTAACATTTGGCTTCAGTTTTTCTATCAACCAACTGTCTCCGGAGAGAAACATGTTGGATTCTTCAAACTAAAAACATGCAACAACTTCGGTGAAATTTTGGTCAAATGCTCCGGTCGATCCATGGGTATGTCCAGTTAATGCAGTATTATCACTCATAAATAATGTACTCGAAAGTAAGAGATTGTCAATGGGCAACATAATTTACTCTATTCAGTTTATGAACTTACTCTTCCAGGAATAAAAGCAAATAGACATGTGCTTAGTATAAAACTACTCACCAGCAAACTGACACTTTATATCGTTCAGTCAGCAAAGAGAATCATTATCGATGTTCACTATACTCCATTCAGATAGGGAAAACAGGAGTACGTCTATCCCATCTTTCATAAAGAGATGGCAGTAGTGTATGCGGTAGCAACTGACAGATGAGCGGAGATGTCGCAAACACCCCTTTTATTGGCTCAGCAGTCCATCAGCTTATGCGACTGCAAAAAGGGCAAATTGTCTAACTCCAGGCATTGTACCGAATTACGGTTCTCTGCTTGAAAACGGGACACAAGCGAATACCGGCGAACTTCTTTCATGGGAACCATTGAGCGAAAATGTGAATTAGTTTAAACGCTCCTAAATACCCAACATTTTGGTCACCCAAATGTTACTTGTGAGCAGAGGCGTACCACAGAGGGAACCGGGGGCGGCTTGTGACGGCACGGCATTTTTAGTACCGATGGTTATGCGATGCAAAATATACACAGTGAAATTTCCAGAAAAGCTGGGAGTTGAGTATTTTAACGTTACTCAGTATGACCAAAAACACATTTGTGTCATCCGCCACATCTGTGCGAACGTTCTTCCCAGCGATCCCCATACTTGTCGAATTGTGGCCGCGTTTATCACACTCACCTCAGTGTTCCAAATGATTAGCCATTTCACGGAAAACCAGTGTGCACTTTACCCTGAGCTGATTTTGCGGGTTTACGGATTTACAACTGCAAAGGGGGGAGGAGAAATTTTGCCACCGTCCCTGGCGACAAATGCAGTTGTTCCAGCACTACTTCTGAGTCGTTATATTTCTCAGTAGAAAATATCAGCCATAAGTTTGATTATCTGCAACAGTTAAATGAAGAACATGATAACTACTTAGTGGATTTCCGAGTCCGTTATCCCCAAGTGCACGTGGCGAATGGCATAGGCTCACAATGATCGAGGTCTAGAATGTGTGAGACAAGCACTCTGCTCAGACTCAGAATTTTATGAATACAAAGGGTTACGTGTCATCATGTTATAATGTGGCTCATAAAATGCCTTCTCCAATTCGGTCAATTTGAACAGATTCTTCTTCCACAGATCACATTTTGTCACACAGTCTTGATGCATGATCGAAACTGAGTATACGGTGTCTTTATTTGCGATACAATTTATTAGTTTGAATTTACGTGGCGGCTGAACCTGTCGCTGAGCACGGCAATTTTGTTGCAAACGTTTACTCATCAAGTGAGGTAACAACATCAGGGCCTTGTTAAGTAGGGTGTAGTATTGGAGGGTTACGTAGGGAAGCCTCGGTGAAAGGCTTCCCCCATTTGAACAAACTGGGCTGCCGATTTTCATTTTTTTATTATGGATTCGTCAGTTGTGCTCGGTGGTTACTCCACAGTCGCGAGTACACTGACTGTTTAAGTACCGTTTAATTTTCATAATCTGTGATTGGAACCTCCGATGAAGGAGATGGGATGCAAGAACTCAGAAACTTATCGATCACGCCATCAAGCAATTTTGGAAATATTTATTATCTTGATAATAACTGCGGGCAGTTCTACGGATCATGCGTTGTCATACATGAGTATTTGTGTTCTTCCTGCCTCAATTTACATCTAACCATAGATAAGGTTCTGTTTTCGGCTTATCTTTTAGATGCCAATGTCAGATTATCCACATTAGAATTAGTCTTCGATGCTACAGCCTCCGGCCGCGTCACACAGAAGTCATTTCACGTTGTGAACCAATGCGAGCTTCCTGTGACCTATGAAATCATTTGTGGTCCAGTCTACTGTAAAACTGCAAAAACGCAAACCTGTTCCACCGCATTTCCCATTTTGGACGGCGCAGTGAATGGAGTAGTGGACAAGGGACAGCGTGTTAGGGTGGTTATAGGATTTGCACCCAACTTCCCAGGTCACTATTTCCGCCGGATAGCGTTGCTGGTCTCCGGTCAGGTAAAATAGCTAAAGACTACTTGGACGCATTTTTGAAATAGGTTCCTTCACGTTAGACTTGTGACATTCCTTTAGATGCTTACGATAAATACCAAAAAGTTTTCAGTTAAGTTGCAATAATGTTGAACGTGAAGTTTATAAGAGCACTTTAGGAAGTGCACCTGAGGATCTATGTGTGCATCCTGAACACAGTATGGATTAGAAGGGATTGGATCATGTGCATGCTTAAGTTTTAGCTATTAAATTGTTTTGTTCATCTACGAAGAAACCTAATGACCGCAGCACCATTCACAGGAAGCTTGAAATGCTCTGTATCACTGTAACACCTTTCTTGCATATGACCATCTTGGGGTGGAATGAGTCTCACCCATATGCCGAGTGGCATGCCACTGCTTGTGCTGCTTACGGATGTAGTGTCACTGCATCACAATCTATAAGCTAAAATACGCATTTAGAGTAGCATTAGCCTGGTTGATGCATACACGCCGTGTGGAACACAGTTTCATGAAATTTCTTCGCTTTATTTAGGAGCCGCAGTTTTTAAACCTTCACGGTTCTTGCCACAGCGGTGACCATCAACCGCACGAGATAGCGTTACCAAATCAACGAAACGACGGGTCAATGCTGGCTACGAATGAACAGCTGCAGACAGGCGAAGCTAACTCACGCTGTGACTATGTAAGTTACGCGAACTAGGTGTATTGTCACAAACTGCCTGAGTTTTCACATGACATGAACCAATTTAGCTTAATTCCAGTTACTGTGGGCCATCAGTGAGCATATTTACGCTAGAGGAATAATTATCTCGGACTGAACTGTTATTGCGAACATTCAGTGGCAAACTCTTCCTTAAGAGATAAGCGCAACAATACGGTAGTGATAAGAAGGAACTGATACTCGTTTAGGCGAGTTCAGTTGATGGGCCAGAGGTTTCCTTTGATTGGCTATTCCACAGGGCGGATTATTGCCGGTTAGAAGTCTCCAGAAACATGGCTGGTCAAACTTGAAATCTGTGACCTAAAGGCTGTATCATGTATAAAATGCAGACTACCCTCTGCCTTAACTTGGAGTACGCGGATACTGTGAGCAATAGGTCATCACCTATTTGGTGCTTTTAGCATACAGTACATCTGCCACCATTTTCAACCACTAGGTTACTCTGCTTATTCAGGGCTACCACTAGGACATCGGATCATGGCAACCCCTATCCACAGTGGAACTCAGGAATGCAATATTAAATATGACACTGAACTGTTGCGATGTTGAAACCGCTTCATTCGCTGTAATCCAAGGTGCCATTTGACGGAGGATTCTCAAGTTTCGACAGGTCTTATTCTCATTCTATTCACTTCTTACTAGACCCAATCAAGTATGGTCCCAGTTAATGTTGGAGATCAGTCTCCAAAGTTGCAAAATAGAACAAATGATGTTGACCTCCCTGACTTAGTAAAAGTGGTCAGATAAATAACTACAGTGTGTTACTTAAATGCCGTGTCTTCATTTCTACACACCTGACATCACCTTTGGACGGTCATAGCACATTGCTGACCCTGTAAAATTTGTCTGCCATTTCTAAATCGAGCGAGTAATGATGCGTGACCGCAGATGAGTGGAACTAACAATTCATCAGCATGGTACCTGGTTTTAGCGTGTCGCGTACTTCGGTGATTTATTAAGGTTACACTGAAATGTAAGTTATCAGTGCTGCCGAAACCGGTCATACTCATCAATCACTAGATGGAGGATGAGAGACTAGCTGCGACATCTTCCCCATATGAAGTAAGGTAGAAGGGATGCTCCTCTTTACCTAAGACTCGCCTGTAGTAAACAGCTTTCCATGTTTCTGTGAAAAGTACCTACTGCTTGATTTAATCAGATAGCTGAAAGACATCCGAAACAAGGTGAACCCGTTTGATTCCTTTCAGACACGATAACAGATGTCTCTACACGAATCATGCTTGGTTCGAATCCATCGCTTTCCTCCTACGAGTCTTGTGTTTTAGAACCCAAACCATGGGTAGCTCTGGCTGGTCATCGACTGGTGTGTAATTTGCGGTAAACTGACACAGAACACCAGGTTGTTAAAGTGTTACTTACAGTAAGGGCGGCACTTATTCTACTCAGTAGTCTGCTACCTCTAACTGCTAACCAATGAGACCCTGGCAGACAATCAGCTGATTAGCAACCAAAGTCTACCTCACGTTGCTCGTGATCGCGGTTTCATAGAGATAAGATATAGGATACGTGCGTGGATTGATGCAGACCTTTTAAGGTTGTGTGTGGACAGTTCGGAAATGATCTTCGCAGTACTAGTTAACCACACTCCAAAACCTGACTAACTTTCATTGAGCTTAGGGCTGGCTAAGTTCGGTTTGCAGTGGTGGTTCCTTGCAGTCCCCTACCAGCCAGCAGGCTTCGGAACACTGGAAAGGCACCAGACAGCTGGTTTGACCTTCTGGAGCTCCTCAATGGTGCGGATTCCTCGTACCCCGCCGGGTTCCGACCCCACGACTTCCGAATGCCAGCAGCTTGTGCTACTAAGCCATGGGTGACAGCTGCGCACTTGCATGACTGATAGTTGACTACGATATGGTCCGCTTAT